ATCTAAAGCTATTTAGTATGATGATTGTAATTCTACCTTTGCTCATGGTTAGTGCTGGTGATTTCAGATTCAATATTATCCCATTAGTATTTTGCCCATTTCCTTGAAATAACCATCCAGTGAGTACTCTCTGAACTTCCTAAGTTCCTCCCGGAGGCTTCTCAGGGGATCTGAAAGAAGGATGCAGGTCTTTGGAGACCTAGGTTTGAACCCCACAGCTACTTGTTAGTCAGGTGATTCTGAAGAAGTCCACTAATCTCTCTGAGCTTTGGAAATAGGATAATAATACCTGCCTTGCAAAGCTGTAGCCCAGACTGAAAGTGCCTGGCACACAGAAGGTTCTCAATAAAGGAGTTCTCCCTCACACCAAGTCAGCTGCTTTCCATCTCTTTAAGTCTCTGTGCCCTCAGAATTGTTTCTCCAGGGCTTGTCTGGATTTTTTCCTTTTTCTCCTACCGGAGCCTACAAGGTCCCTACCGGTCCACACAAGTTCCTGCTTCAATTCCAGACCTACAGCATGCCAAGTCAGCATGAGCACTTCCTGGAGTAGGGGCTTTTTTTTTTTTTTCTGGTCAGGGCTGAGCAATCATAGGCCAAGAAAAATCTTGGTCAGAAGATGAGATCATAGCTGAAGTCTCTAAGAGCCCCATTGTCTCAGCTCCAGGGTCTGTTATGTCGAAGATGTAAATGCCAGTGCTGTGATTCAGAGCAGGGCCAGTCAGGAGATTTCAAGAGACAGTGGTGAAGTGGACAAGGTAGGGTTCTGCCAAGCTGCTGAGCACAGGAATTAGCTGTGGGACTCACATCTGTGGCTGACTAGGGGCTAAAATTCTTGGTTCTTCCTTCAAGGGGATTCTGGTATCAGGGACCAATGTAGACATGGGCTGAAAGAGACTTAGAGATCATTTAGATCTACTTTCTTTTACACAGATGGAGAAACTGAGGCCCAAACGAGGGAAATGACTTGCCCAAATCCACACAGAGAGAAAGGACCCAAACTGCACCTAATCCCAGGTCTCTAGATTCGATGTCCACAGGTGTGTCCGTTATCCTATGAAAAAATGGTGGTTGTTAAAATTCAACACCTTGCGAACACTCAGTAAATTTTATTGTTGAATAACAAGTGGAGGGAATGTTTGCTAACAGGATTTCTAAACAGGAGAGCATTCACTAATTCACTAAATATTTGTTGAGTCTCAGAAGGTAAGGAAGGGCCACTTTGTGAAGGATGTGAATGCCATGCTTAGGAGTGTGACTTCTATTTTGTAGGCAACCTGAAGCCGTCAAAGAGTTCAGAGGATTGACATGATCAGTTTTAGAGATATCATTCTGGTAGCAGAGAAGAGGATGGATTGGAAGCTGTCAGGTTAGATGCATGAGGATATAGAAGGCTTTTAGAGTGGACATGATTGACTGAGGTGTAAAGAAGGGCAGTGGCAGTAGGACAGAGAGAAAGCAGGAGAGCCAAAGCGCATTTCCTTTTTTTTTTTTTATTGAGGTACCATTGGTTTATAACATTATATAAATTTCAGGTGTACATCATTATATTTTGATTTCTATGGAGATTACATCATATTCACCACCCAAAGACTAATTACCATCCATCACCATACACATGTGCCTAATCACCCCTTTCACCCGAAGGTCATTTCTTAAATGCAGTCAATGGGGCCTGTGGTCAGGGGGACGACAGGTGTGCCAGAAGGGGCAGAAGGCTGGGCCCTAGGCCAGCCGAAGCACAACCCCTCAAGACCTTACACTCCTGCCTAGGGTCCCAGACTGACCAAGTAGACTTCATTCATTGCAGGGCAGCTGTTTGATGGCCACAGCACTGGTCAATAATAGTCACTGACGTTCTTACTGTGTGATAAACCAAGGTGGTCTGTTTCCCCAGCAAAGATGGTTGGTTGTGACACAGATAGGAAGTCCTTTTAAAAGTGTTATCTACTTAGAAGCCTTCAGGTAACAGTAAAAATTCTTAAAAATTAAATCTTCTAGTTTCTACACCTTGGCTGGATAATGTAAATTTCCTGGTAAAAGGTAAGTAGCATCCACTACTGGCTATGGAGGTCACATATTATAACAGTTAATGGAATTTTGTGTCAGGCAGTCCTGGGTTGAGTCCAGACTGGTAATCACGAGCTGTGTAACCTTGAGCAAGTCACTAAATCTCTTTGTTTCCTCAACCATAAAATGGGGATAATAATGGTACCTGTCTGAGAATTGTTGTCCTAACAATATGAGAAAATGCATTTTAAGTGCTCAGCACAATGCTTGCCACAGAGCAAGAGCTCAAGCAGGGTCAGCTATTGTTAATTTTAATATCTCTACTGAATTATTTTGTAGCATGGTATACTTAAAAAAAGATCACATTTGTAAGTACAAGAAAATTTGTGTTAAACATTTTTTAAAGCTTCCTGTTTAGATATTGCGTTTTAACCAAATTTTAAAGATTCATGGATGAGTGGTGGGACAACAGAACATTGGGTACATCCATATGCAGATTTTATAAATGTATGAAAGCATTTGCTTTACTTTCCAAAAATTTTGTGTTCAAAAAGTAATTTTGTTATTGATTTGCTGGGTGACTTTGGATAAGTCTGTTTAACCTTTTAAGCTTTTTTGGCTTCCTCTGCAAAGTAAGTGGGCCTAGACTACATGGTTTCTAAAGGCCCTACCAATTCTAAAATAAGTACATGGACTTATTCCACACTCTAATTACATATTACCTGCATAGCTACAACAGTAAGTCAAATCCCAATTATTTTTAAAGAAGTACTAAGGCCCTTCATGATTATCAAGGATTATTGCCAAGAATCTGACACCATCCAATATTACGATGTGTGCACTTTTTAATCTAATGGTTCGACAGTGTATAGCTGACCTGGAACATTTGGAAGGATATTCTAGCTGACAAACAACCAGAACTTGAGACCCCTTGCACTTGCTGGTCCCTGAGGGAAAGTGACTTTTTTTGAACTTTCTCATCTGTTCATTTGTATTGTCAAAGTTTCTCTCTGAGAGTGGTGTTTGGTAATAAGTTAATCAATTTGGCAAGAACTGGGAACAGGTTAGTAAAGATGTTCTTTATGAGCAAACCTTTTAGGTCCATCTCCAGCTCACCCCTCTCTGCCCTTTTTCCCACTGCTTTGCTCGAGCACATTCTGACACGACCACGCCGATCTTGGCTGTTTCCTTAGATCCTGTGTGTTTACCACTTGATGTTTTACTAATACTGCTCTCAACCTGAAAACACTTCTTTTTCTTTGAATTCTTCCTCCGCTCTCACTGCCAATATTTGTACGTCCAAATCCTCCCCATCCTTAAAGGCTTAGTGCAAATGTCACCTGTCCATAAAGTGTGGGTAATCTTTCTCCTTGGGTGCAGTGAATTATTCCCTCAGTTAGGCTCCCAGAACACTTTTGGAATGTACCTCTCAGGTGGTCCCCGGCACACAGAATAACACAGTGGGAAGGCACACAGGGTCACTTGAGTTCAAATTCCTATTGGCCCCTTAGCTGTAGTCTTGGGCAAGTATAAACCTCTCCAAGCCTCAGTTTCCTCATCTGTAAAATGGAGCTAATGGTAATACCTTCCTGATAAGGTTTTTGTTAGGTTTCAATGTGCCAGTACATGTAAAGCATTTATAATATTGCCTTGCCCATAGTGAGTGTTTAAGAAATGCTAGCTATCATTACTTCTCTCCTTCTGTCTTATTTTACAGATATAATATCCCTGTCTTATGTTTCCTCCTAGACTCTACACTGTTGAGAGGAGAGGATTTGCGCTTGCTCATTTTTTGTAGCTCCTTTTGTGCCTAGAACTTATCACACAAAACTAGACTTTGGAAAACTTAGGCCCAAGTCCTTCTTCCCTTTTCATCCTTAATAGTCACAAGACGACTTTAATCATGAAATAAGCTATTCCATGAATAAAGAAGCTTATTGTAATTAAATGTCAAATTGGACATTAGACTAAACAGTCTATAGTCAGTTGCACGCCAATGCTTGTGGTAAGCACAGGGCTTTTGAAAGAATGTCACATGTGGTGTACAGCTATTTGACTCAGGGCTCTCAACTCCTAGTCCTGGCCTCATTCCACCACTCCAAGCAGCCAGATTCTGTCACCTTTGCTTTCCATGGTGGTGGCTCAGCCTGGCTCCAGCTGGCCATGCACAACGATGACCAAAGCTATCACAGAGTACAGCTCACTCTACAGGAAGCAGCCTCACCCAGAATCCATGCATAAATTGGTGATCAAATCTGTACTAAAGGAAAACATTATGTGCTACTCCTGCAGTACAAAGTTCAGTTGTAGTCAAGATTTCAGGTCAAATTCAGATCTGTTTCTGAGATATTTTCCATAGACATTTCTCACATTTTTGCAGAGATACTTCTTGGTCTGTGTTAATGGTTTCGTGCCAAACAGCAGTTTACCCAACACTGTGATTCATTTATTTGTTTCCTATACACTGTTTGACTTTTCTCATATTTGACTTTGGCTGAGGACTCTCAGCATATGCTTTACATGGCTAGTCAGTCAGACTTTTAAATATTTTTGGATTTTAATTGAAAAAAAATTCAGACCAAAGGCCATGATTTTTCTAATAATAAATCAGGGACTACTCATTTTCTTTTTAGAGAGTATTAACTTCAATTTAATTCTCTTCCATGAAATTTCACAGCATTAATGTTAAAACATAATTCAGGTCAAGTATAATATCAGCTCCTGGTGTGTCATTAATAGTTCCTAGTTCATGAATAAGAGCCATACAAAGTAGCACAGGCCCACAGAAATGGGCCTGGGGAAATTAGGCCAGACAGAGTTCAAAGAAATTAAGGTATAAGATGCTGCATTCTACCTATTCTCAGGAGCAGCATTTCTTTTCTCACGGCTAACCTTAGACAGAGGCAAAGTAGGCGCTGGCCTGTAGCATGGAGTGGTACTGAAAGTCTCAAAAGTTGGTTCTCCAACCTGCCTCTTAAGCTTGGCATTCCTACCTTTAGAGTGGAGTTCCATTGGCCGAAGTGTGCTCCGGAGACTTCAGTCCATTCCTTTACTAATTCATTCATTCATCAAATGTTTATTAGTACCACTATGTACAGGAACTGGGGAGAGAAAAACGAGTAGGACACAAAGCTTTAGTCTAGTGAAGACCAAACTAGGGAGACAGTTCAAACTCTGTGTTTTTGACAAGTGTCATGATAGAGCTTTACCTATGGGGCTGCCAGGAAGGTAGGAGATGACCTCAGAGAAAGGGATGTCACAGAAAACCATGAGTGGAAGAATGATGAAGACATGCACCTTACAGAGGACAAAGGTAAGGAAAGAAAACGTCGAATGCAGATACCTCTGACAAGGTGAATGCTTTAAGCTGGCTAGTAGTTACAAAAAAAAGTAGAGTGAACAGTAACCTTCCAGTTTCACAATGTAAAGCTGGGCAGAATTTGACCCACAAGCTAAGACTTGATAGGGAAGTGAGTGAGGATGGACAGAGACTGGGAACCTGGGCTACTGACCAGGAGGGGCTGAAGTGGGCTCTTGGTTGTTGGAGGAACAACTTAGGGCACTGAGGCCAGAGGTGAAGGTGCTCTAAGACAGGCACTAAAAGAGGAGGTCAGAAACTGCCAAGCAAACTTTGCTTATTTGGTAATTTGGGGGAAAATGGGCACTAGCTTAGTCTTGTATAGTGCGGTACCAGAGGGAAGTCATAAGTTAAATCAGAATTAATGTGGTTTATGTAATTAAAATAGAAAAGCATGTGTCTGGCTTCAGGACTAGGAAGACTACTGAGTTCTCAAATTCTAATCATTCCCATCACTGCACTGTAGCCCCAAACGGCATGTGGTCTTCTGTCTACTTAGAGTCCTCTGTGACCTCTTCTTTGCCCCTCAAGGCTTGGCACAAGTGTCCCCTCCTTCCCTGATGGTTCAGACTGTTGAGTATGCCTGCTCCAAGCTCCCAGAGCAATTAGTACATCTCTCTCATTGGATTAACACACATCACACTGGATTGTCCCTGTCTATTTACTTTTCTGTCTCCCCCCTCCACCAGGCTGTGAGCTCTCTGAGGGCAGAGATTGTCTTCCACCTCTGTATCCCCAGGACTTAGCCAAACTAGAACATAATAACTGCCAATACATATCTGTGGATGGATGGATGGTTCCATGGTTCTGTGAATGGATGGATGGATGAATAGATGGATTGAACAAATGGATGAACGACTGGCCTAAATCAATAAGGGTCTGCATTCTCTTTTGGAATACAGACTCAGGGAGTGGATGCTCAGAAAACTGCTGAACATATTTTAACGCTGTGGCAAACCATGGATAAAAATCAGGTGCCTTGGTCCAATTCAAACCTAGTAGCAATATTGTGTGCTTTATTTTCCCGTTCACATGTGCACTGCAATTTTAGGGCAAGGTTTGCTTAGTAGGCAGGTTTCAAAGATGTGGAAGGAGAAGCAATCTAATCAAGAAAGCTTGAACCAGGAGCCAGGAGGTCTAGCCTCTCTTCCTGATCCCCCACCAACTTCCTGATTACGTAACCCAGATGAGCTTCTTATCTCCATATGCTTCCAGTCTCCCATTCTTTCCCCTTTGCTCTCCATCCTCCATCCTCCACCCAGTTATCTTTTCTGAAAACAAATTAATCTCGCTTTAAAACCCCCTTGTTGCCTCCAGAGCAAAGTCCCAACTCCTTAGCAGGCAAGCAAGGTCTTTATAGTATCTCTCAAGGCTGATGGCCCTTTATCATGTCCCTTATAGCCAGTTACTCCATGGTCCCATACCCCTAACCAAGCTCTTTCATGTCTTTGAATTTTTTCCATACATTGTCTCTGATATCAGCAATGACCTTCCACATTCACTTCACCTGGTGACCTCCTGTTTGTTCATCTTTTAAGACTCAGCCAATGGAGCCGCTTCCTCAGCAAGGCCTCTTCTAACCCCTTCAACAGTGTCAGCTCCTCCTCCTCTCTGCTCCCATAGCATTTCCACTTGTTTTTCTCATACTACTTATAACCCTGATAGAAATTAGTTGCTTAGTCATCCATCTCAGTTGCAAAACTCTGAGTTCCTCTAGGTCAGGGGTCATTATTCTTGTATCTCCACTTTAGTTGCTAGCACTTAGGAGATTTTCTAATGTATACTGGTTGAAAAAAATCAAATGAGTTATAGTGAATTTTACATGCACTGTCTCCCTAAATATTGCTACTATTCCCTTCTCCTCCATCTCCCCAAGAAACCTAATAATAAAGAATAGTTTGAGCACTGATCAGCAGCAGGCACTACTCCATACCTTAAACATGATAACTTCATTTAGTCTTTATCTCAGCCCTGCAAAGCAGGCATTACTATTACAATTACTTTACATATAAAGAAACTGAGGCCCAAAGAGGTTAAGCATCTTTTACAAGTCACAGTTAGTAGGTGGTAGAGCTGGCATTTAAACTGAAGCCTCTCAGACTTCAAAGCCCATGGCCTTTCCACAACATCATCTGCTTCCTCAAAGGCCTGCACCTGGTAGGTTCTCACTTGGCCATTTAATTGCTCTGAACTGCACTGAATAGGACTGCAAGAGACAGGCTCACTCCAATTTGCAGCTGGAGCCTGGGCATCTCCATAGCCCATCCATGAAACCCTAGACAGGCACATCTAAATGCTGGCATTCATGGGGACAAAGCCGAGATCCTCTTCTTGGCAGGAAGCTGGGTCTTCTAGCACATGGAGCCAGCCCTCCATTTCCTGGGATCAGATGGAGCCCTCAGCATGGAGGCCCTCTCACAGTTCATGGGTTTGTCCCTCATATCCAGTCCAGAAACTGTCTGCTCCCTGCCTCCCTGGAGAATAAGAAATTACTGCCTTCTGGGATGTTTTTCTGGTCACTGAGGCCTCAAGGTGAAAGGTCTCTTGGATGGAAGTGAACAGCCAAAATTTACCCAACTAGGCAAGGCGTCAGGCAGCCCTGAGCCACATCCCATTAGGGCCCACAGAACAGCTGGGTCTTCCTCTCTTCACCATGATACCTGCCCTCCAAGGATGGAGGTCTTTCTGCCCCACTGCTCAGCTGACATAAAGCAGAAATCCCACTGCAGAGCTCCCTTCAGGCTGAAGACTGTGCGCAGAGCCCTCAGAAGTTTCTTCTCCTTCTACTTTCCACTGCCACTGCTAAGCTTTCAGCTTATGGGGAGAAGAGAGGCTCACAAAAGGATGAGTGCTCTTGTCCTGAAAATATCCTATAGAAATATAGGACAGAGCTGGAAGGGAGAAGAGTATTTATATGCTAGTAATGTAAGCATTAAATTAAGAATGTAAACACCTATTACATGCCAGCATTTTACACACATCGTCTCATATAATCATCTCTGTGATTATTTTTCCCATTTTAATGATGTACAAACTGAAACTGACTCTAAGCACAACAGCTTATTTCCTTTTGTTGATAAAAGGGATATTGTGAAACCTTTGACCTTGGGCCTGAGAATTAGTAACTGGAGCTCAGCATGAGGGTGAAGTGGGACACAGCCATACAGGTAGAATCCTTGTACTAGTCATATCTGCTCATCATCTGAGACTGTGATAATTGCCCTGTGTTTTCCTGCTGGAATCAGAAATTTATCTGGACTCCCAACCCAGATGTCCAGTACTGGGAAAAGGAAGCAGTTTGAGTTTTACAAAAAGAACCTTTAGCTAGACATTTGAATACATTTGCTTGAGTCCCAGCTCTATTATTAAACATATGTGAGATCTTGCCTCAGTTTCCTCATCTGTGAAGTGGGAATAAAAACAACTGATTTCTTATCTTAGGATTTTTGTGAGAATTAAATGAGATATTGAATGTGGGGTGCTGGGAAGGCCCACAGAGAACTGGCCTATTCATAAATGAACCACTTTCTTGTCCACTGTCCCTTCTGTGGAGCTCCATCCATGATTGGACAGCACCCACTTCTCCAGATTAATTTTTCTCCTACCCTCACCCCACCTCCCTAAACTAAATGAAGAGCAGTTTGAAGCAGAGGAAAGAACATAGACTAGAAATTGGATGACTTTGGTTTGAGTCCTGATTTTATTAATTACTGGCTCTGAGATCATTAAGCGAGTCACCAAGCCTCAATTTCCTTAACTGTTGAATGGGGATGATATTAGTACTTACCTCCTAGGGTTGCCATGAAGACTATATGAGAGAATGAATGCACCAATGCTTTGTCAATTCTAATGTGCTATACAATTGCAAGTTATTTGTCCAACAAGGTTTTTGACCATCTGCTATGGGTCAAGCACATGCCAGGTGATGAGGGTACAAAGACAATAAGACATGATTTCCATTAAGCTCACAGTCTGAGGAAGAGTCAGACACATAAACAGGTCATTACAACACAGTATGGTAAGTGCTGTGACAGGGGAGGAGCAGAATGCTTGAAGCACAGAAAGGGGCACTGTCTTAGTTATCTATTGCTGCAAAACAAATTACCCCAAAACTTAGTTACTTAAAACAAGCATTTATTATCTCACATATATACTGAGAGTCAGGATCCTGGGAATGGCTTAGCTGGGTAGTTCTGGCTCAGGGCCTTTCATGGGGTCAAGATGTTGGCTAGGGCTATAGTCTCTGAAGATTTGATTGGGGCTGGAGAATCCACTTCCAAGTTCACTCATGTGGCTGTCAGCAGGAGGCTTCAGTTCTTTGCCATGTGGGCCTCTGCATACATCTGCTCAAGACATGACTTTCCCCAAAGCGGTCATCCAAGAGAGAGAGTATAAGTGAGAGATCACCCAAGATTATAACCTAATCTTAGAAGTGCCATGCTATCACTTCTGCCATTTTCTGTTGCTCACGTAGACCAACCAAGGTACAACGCAGGAGGGAAATAGACAAGAGTGTAACTTGCAGGAGGCATGGATCATTGGGAGCCATCTTGGGTGCTTGATACCACAGGTACTCAACATACTGGGAGAGAGGAGGTGCCAGGAATGTTTTCTGAAGCTTAAGCTCAGGTACATTTTTACTGCCTCTTGTAGTTTCTGCTGGATGTCAGACTATTAAAAGAGAACTTTCTTTTCTATTCAGATTATTCTGTTATTAAATGGAAACAACATTGTAGAAAATATAGAGGAGCTTAGAGCTGTCAAGGAGTGGAATGACTTTGAAGGTGGGGGCATCTTTCAGCTCAGCCTCCAGGGCGGCTGCTCCCTGGTGAAGTCAGGTCCCGCAGGCCCTGGTATGGCCCTTCAAATCCACAGCCCACCTAAAACTGACCACCAATAACTACTACCTGCCCCTATTTACAGTGCAACTTACACTGTACTTCAAGCATATGTTTACATGTCTGACATCCCTCCAGACTGCCCTGAGCAGGCAGGGACAATGTTTGTCTGATACATGGCTGTTTCCAGCATCTGGCATGGAGGCTGGCACTATGCCTAACAGTTTGATAAAAGAATTAATGTAAACTGAATGAATACAGGGTACACTGTAAATGTGACAGGGTCCATGCAGGTAAGTAATTACCACAACAATTAAGGAGCTATGCTAGGTGTTTCCTCAGCGTCCGGCCCTTTGCTACATGCTTTACATGTATTATTTCATTTAATACTCATAACAATCCTATAGTAGGTATTATCCCCCATTTAACAGATAAGGAAACTGAGGGCACACAATTAGAAAATGGCAGAGCCTGGATTTGAGCCCAGCTCTGTCAGATTCCATAGCCTGTGCAACTAATCATATCATAACAGATCCTCTCAAACAAACAAATGAAAAATTGCAGATCTAAAGGACTTTGGGTGATTAACAAACCAGATAAAAGAAAATCAGATAGACTTAAGGAACAACTTGATCAATGTCTAAAAACTAGGTGTCTCCCCTTTATACACAGACACTGGAATTTATTTCTAGGAAAAAAAAATTTCCAGGAAAGCCCAGCCTAAGTCCCACCTCTTCCAGGAAGATTTGACTCCCAGTGATGCCTGTCTCCCTTAAACTTCTGGGGTACTTGTGATAGTGCTATTCAGCTGATACTTACCATATGCAGTCTTGAATTGCAGTTTATCCTTTTCATAACTCAGGTCCATGGCCTCCTTCTCCATACAGTGAGGAAGACAGACTACTTCAAAGGCCCTTTCTGGCTTATAGAAGGTATTTCCTGCACAATTACCTCCTTGCAGGGAGGGCCATATGGTTGCACATGGCAGGCCCTCAGTGATGGAAGAGCTTTACCCGACTGTGTTGGAAGAGCCTCTTTCTGCTGTCTCCTGACTACCCTGTAAGCTCCTGGGGACTCCTTACAGTGTCCTTGCACCTAGCACAGGCCGTGGAGCACAGTAGGCTCTCTATAAATATTTCCTGGATAAATATATGGGGGGATAATTAAATGAAGTGGTGGTGATGACTATCACCTCTATGATAATGAAAAACCTCTATCATTGGCTTTAGTAAATCAAGAGTGGTAATTTCTTATACTTGTTTGGTGCTTTGACCTTCCCCAGGAAGCATCTCCTTCAGGCCCTTCTCCTCATCCCAAGGCCTTCTGCCTACAGAACAGAATGGAACATTTGGGATTAGAGTAGAGAGAGCTGTAGACACATGAGCAAACTTTGACTAGGCTTATTCCAGATTGCCTGCCGACTCATAACCCTCCTGTTTGGACTTATTACCACATCCTTTATTGCAAGATGCTTTCATAACATGAGGCAATGCCCCAGCTACAGCTTTATTTGCACTGGTTACGTAGGTGATGGGCTTGTTCTCAGATGCCATCACCCATCTTTAGCAGTTAGGGAGGGGGTCATGACTTCATCTTGGCCACAGCATTTCTCCTGGGTCTCACTGTCAAATGGGAGCTCTTGGGAAGACTCCTAGAGCAGCTGTTCTCTCACAGGGCAACAGGATAATAGGAGCCTTCTTGCTCATCTCCATCAATGCCTCTGATAGGACCTTAACTTCTTAACCTTTTCTCTATTTTCTGCCTTACTATTGGGAAGGAATCTAGTGCAGTGGTAAAGAGCATGGGTTTTACAGTTAGAGCTGGATTTTCATCCTGCTTCTGTCTCTTATTAGCTATGCACCTTGGGCAAAGTACTTAACTTCTTTGAGCCTTGACTTTCTCATTTTTAAACTAGGAATAATAATATAATTTAATTCATAGGCTTGTTGTGAGGATTGAGTTAATACTGCAAAGGATTTAGAACAGAGCCTTCAAATAATACGCCTTCAATCAATGTTAGCTATCACAGTTAGCTATTATTTGGTGTGTCCACTGCTTGCTCTGAGGACGGAGTGGGTAACAAGAGGCTGCAGGTGAGTTTTTATCATCACCATCAATGTGACAGAAGGAGAAAGAAATTCAGATTTCCTGAATGCTGGCCTGAGAGATTTACTTACCTAAATTGGAAGGACTCCAACTTCCAGGTAAAGCTCAGGGGGTTAAGGAATTTGCTCGATGTCACGCAGTCAGGGTGGGGAGCAGGTTTTCTTCACATGTTCTTTCTCCGTTTCCCAGCAGAAGGCTCGGGACCCACTGGAGCCTTTCATTTTGTCCTTCTCAGCGATGAATCCATACATTTACCTTGACATCCTTGTTCACACTTGGAACTAAAACTGCTCTGTACATTTAGTTCTTACCTCTCTCCCACTTCCTTTACTGGTCCCAAGATGTTCTGTGAGTCCTGCTTCAACTTCTCTTTTCCACTCAGCCCTCAACCAGTCTGGCTTCCTGGCAAACTCTTTCCTGTTTCTCTGTGTCTATCACCCTCCTCCTTTCTGTACCCAGCAATTTCATTTTCACAGCCTCAGCTTACCCTGCATCTGGGACTGTCTGTGCTAGCCTCAGCAGGATTGGTATCAGTAGCTCAGGCCAGGCTAGCTCAGCTGTACACCAAGTGTAGGGTGAGGAGTAAGAGGGCTAGTAGGGAGTGTGTGGGGGGGGGGGGTGCAGAAGGCAATCAAGCTATGGGTGTGGAAAGCCAGTAGGTAACAAGAAGGGCAGATAGAGAGTTAGAAAAATAGCTACCCTCTTAGGTGAGGCAGACAGTATGCCTGGGGATGCTGCTGAGGCAATCGAGAAGTTAGGAGTGCTCTGTCAGGGCTCCTGGCAGATCTCAGGGGGAACAAAGGCTGTGAGGCCCAGGACTTGGGGGAGGTAGGGTAAGGCAGGGTGAATGCTAGGTTTTAAGCTGGTATTGTATCAGGAGGAGCTCTGTTCCAACAGGATCCAAAAATGGAATGGGATTGGGGATTGATGGACAGACCTAGTTTCAAACAGTCTGTTTGCAATAATAAGCCATCAGACTGTCCCAGAAATTCCATTATTTTGGCATCAAGATTGGACGTCCCAGGCTTCCTCTCCTACTCAGAAGTGGTACCAAAAATCTTTTGGCAGACACTGAATTCTGATTTTTAGTTCTGAAAATGCAGTCACTGTACCTAACCCATATTCTATGATCTAAAATATTTGCAGGAATGATTATATGCTATCATTGCACTCTATTTTTCTGACTTCCTGGAATAAATCCTTTTGCCTACCATGTTATTTATTTTTTCAAATTGAAAAAATTTTAACTATACAAGAAATATCATAAACAAAGGAATATATTCTTCACAAAATTTTTTTAAAAAACAATAAGTAGCAAGTAAAAAGTGAAAATCTTACTCACCACTACTCAACCCCACTTCCTTCTGTAAATTATACTCCTAGTTAGTAAGTACTGTAAATAAGTTTCTGCAGTAGTTTTTCTATGCACTTAGGAAGATGCAATAGCACACAGGGATAGGGTTTGGGGAAAAAGAGGAGTGGGCTGGCCTGGCAAGGAGTAGTATTTTATCACTGACATTGTTTGTTTTCCCTGTTCATGGTGAGAATAGAAAGCAGATCAAGTAGATTTTATTATTATTTACTATTGTTTTCAAGTTATTGTTTAAAATTATCCTCAAGTAATGCATCCCCTTATTGCCTACACCCAGGGCAGACAGCACCCCCTACTTTGTCCTGCCATGGTATACCATTGGATATATGTCCAATATAGACATTCATGTATCTTTTAATGGGGTGATCAGGACATTTTGTTCTGCAATTTGCTTTCTCTCCCTCACTTCCATTTAGCAATATGTCCTTAGGACCCTTCCATGATAGCATATAGAATTAGTATAACTTTATGACCTTTTTATTAACAGATGCATAGTATTCCATAGTATGGTGGTACCATTCTCCTATTAATAGATATTATGTGGTCCAACACCGTGCCACTGCAAATGCTGCCACGTCACATTTCCAGTGGCACAAAACTGGAAGCAACCTATCATCTAACGTCCTTACATAACATCTAATATCCATATATTCGATATATGATAATATTCATTTATGAATGCTTAGTCTGTACCAGGCTCTGTTCTAAGTACTTTACATGTAATAACTCATTCAATTCTGAGAACAACCCTATGAAATAGAGACCACATATTATCATCTTTGTTTCACTGCTGAGGCAACTAATGTAATCTCACCCAACATCCCAAAGCTAATAGGTGGCTGAGCTGGGATTTGCATGACAGCACTCTGACTCCAAGGTCTGCACTATTGACCCCACTCTGCTGTGTGAGCCTCTTGTGCATTTTTACCAGCTTTTCTCCAGGTTACATAGCTGGAAATGGAAAATTTTGATGCATACTTCCAAATTGCCCTCTAAAAATGGCTGTGCCAACTGACACTCCCACAGGGTTTGAGAGTGCCATTTCCCTTGAAACTTTGCTAGTGCTGCATTTTATCAAGTTTACTCATTTTTGACAACTTGAAGGGTCAATAGAAAACGTCTTTATTTTGCTCTCTCATTTGAACACTAGTTGGGCTAGCATGGTACATAATTCTAGGCTCAAAATTATTTTCTTTCAGATTTTGAAGTTATTGCTGCATTGCTGCCCAGCATTGAGAGTTACCTTTGAAAAATCTGAAAGCCAATCTTATTTTTGTTCCTTGTAGATAACCTGCTTTTCTTCTCTGAATACTTTTAGGGTTTTCTCTTTGCCCTTTTGGCTTTGAAACATCCCAAAAATTTGCCTAAAAAGCATCTTTTAAAATTTACCTTGCCTGACACTTGGCAGGCCTTATGAAGTCTTGAGCCTTTCTTTGGGTTGGGAAAATTTTCTTTAATTATTTTTTGTGGATCTCTTCCCCACCAATTCTCAGTTCCTCCTGGCACTTGTTTTGAATGAATGGAGGCACTTCTGAATCAATCTTTTGTGTCTCTGTATTCCTCTGTTTGGGCTGTCATAACAAGATACCATAGACTGGGTGGATTAAACGACAGAAATTTATTTTCTCACAGTTTTGGAGGCTAAGACCAAGATGATAGCCTATTCAGTTTCTGGTGAGGGCTCTCTTCCTGGCTTGCAGATGGCTGCCTTCTTGCTGTGTCCTCTCACAGCAGAGAGAGAGCTCTGGGGTCTCTTCCTCTTCTTATAAGGGCACTAGCCCTATCAAATTAGGGTTCCACCCTTAACGACCTCATTTAACTTTCATTACCTCCTCACAGGCCCTATGTCCAGATACATTCATGTTGAGATTAGGACTTCAACATATGAATTTGGGGGGGCAATTCAGTCCATAGCAATCTCTTAATTTTTCTCTCAAATTTTCCATTCTTCATCTTTTCTGTAGATTCAGGGAGATTTCCTCACACTTAGCTTCTGGATAACACCCCCAGTTTTTGCCATATCCATCCTATTATTCACCCCATCTATTGCTTTTTTAGATTTATTATCATCATTTTTAATTTCCTTTTTGCTTATTGGTTTTCCTTTGTCATAGCATTTGTTTGTTCCTTTTTCACAGCAGCCTGCTACAATATCCTCAAGCATCTTTCTGAGGATGATGCTATTTAGAATTTTTTTAAGTGTTCCTTTCTGTTCCTTTACCTGTCTTTTCTCTGGGGTCAGTTTTCAGTTTGTTCGTCTTAGTGCTTTTCTTTAGAGCTGTTAAATTTCCTCAAGTATCTGGTGATTCTTAGTTTTCCGTTAATATCTGTGTTTGAAGGATAGGTTAATTAGTAGGTATTTTGTTTTTTTCACTTCAGTTTTGAGCTATCCGTTTCCCCTGCAGGCTCCTTTGATAATGGAGGGTTAGTCACGACTCTGAGTAGGACATTTTGACTGCAGACTTCCCTGTAAGATGCTGGGAGCAGGCAGAGAGGCAGGCTTGAGGACCACACTCCTCCCTACTCAGTCCTTCGTCCATCCTCAAATGCCAAAATAAGGAGGCCTTTAACCTGATGAAGTCACAGTTGACAGGCTGGGCAGGAACACCTTTTCCTTTTTCCACTCTCTGTGTCTGTCGAAGGTAGCTGGGGTTACTTCCAGCCCTGCTTTTCTCACAGGCCCTTGTTCCCCAGCAGGCGCCCTCCCCAGGCAGATGATTTCCTTTCTTAGAGTGAGGCTCTGTGTCTTACCCGTGGATAACCCTCCCAACCCCCAACTCCCACTCCCCACCTCCGGACACACACACCTACCTCCTCCTGAAGTGGAGAGAGGAGGAGAGGTCTGTTGTTCAGAGGGCAGTTTAAAGATTAATAACTCTGATGATTGCTTCACAACCCCCTCCTATTCTCTCTATTTGCTTCCTCTGAGCTAAGAGATTCTCTGCTCCTACCTTCAAAGTAATTTCCTCTTAAGAGTGTTTGGAGTATGTTAATACTCTGCTCTGGGTTCTGTACCACCCTGATCCCAGCTGCTTCCTATCCAGATTTTTATCATATTTTGGCCTCTTCTCTTGTTTGCTGGTACTGGTAGACACCTACTGATTTAAAAAGCTATCTTTTCTCTTTTAAGGGATTTATGGCAGGAGAGTAGGTATATGTTTGTGCTTGGTTCTCCTTCTTGATTTGCTTCCTCCTCTTCCCATTAACTCTCCTCTTGATAATAAAATTTCTGACAACAAAGTGTGCTGTTGGAATACAGTGTCTTTGTTAATTAAAATAATTTCATTTAATAAAAAGTGCCAGACACTTACATATATTATCACTTTGAAGCCTCACAACACTCCTGTGATGTCGGCATCAAAATTCTCATTTGGTGGATGAAGAAGCTGAAACTCTGGAAAGCTAGCTGAATTAATTGAGGTCACACAGCTAATAAGAAATAGACCTAAAGTTTGACTCCAAAGCCCACTTTACACTGCTCTACACTATTTACATGTTTCTGGTATATTTATTTTCTCTAGTTTTTAGTATGTTTATCTTTACTTCCTCCACTAACATATAACTTCCTTGAGAGTAGGGACCCTGGCTCTAGTTTCCTATTTCTATTGTGAGGTGCCTGATATAATGTTCTATAAGCAGCAGTCAGTTTAAATTTTGTAAACCAACTAGGTAAAAGCAGTTAATTACAATTATGTTATTATCTTGCAGATAATTATATATTAGAGTGGTACAAATGCTTTATTCAAGGTCTTTAAATGTTGTATGATGTCCACTAAACTAAAGATTGGGTTACAAATAGAAATTAAAACTCGAGGAAAGGTCAAAGTTCAGCTTCTGGCTAGAGTTGTTATGGCAACTCTCTAAGCAATAAGTCTACATAAACAGAAGAGAGAACAAGAGAAAATACCTATTGATCTCTAATATTACCACTAGCTAATTGTTTTTCTCTCTATTTCTTCAATATTGCAATATGTTGAGATGGCTAGAATTGTGATTCTTTCATGTATTCCATTACATTCAGTGTCATATTGTTCTCTTAAGCCTGCCCCAGGAAGAGCCAACTTTCTGCAGAAGACACAACCATGTCTTGACATTCCTAAGGATGGGGTATATGTCAGGCACTGTTCTATGTGCCTTATATATATTAACACATTTAATCCCCTCATAAACAAGGTAGGTATTATTCCCATTTATAGATGAGGAAACTGAGGTATAGAGAGGATAAGTAACTTAGCCGAGGTTAGACATTTAGGAAGTGGTGGAGTCTGGTCCTGGCATCCATGCTCACTGCTCTACAGCCTATCGATAGTCTCTAGTATAGTAAATAATGAAAAGACAGGAGATATGTATCAATAATACATGGGGGAAGGGGATAGGGGCAGGAAGTCTTCCTATAGGAAGTGGTACCTCAATTAAGTAGAAGAAGAATGGGAACCAGCAAGGCAAAGTGGGGGAAAGAGCTTCTTGGTTTCCTGCCTCTCTTGTCTTGCTAGACAACCTGCCTCCTCACCTCCCAGGAGCTCCTTCCTTTGTCTTCCCCACACTGAAAACACAGGAATGTCCACAGTCATCCTTAACAAGCCTAACATTTTAACTGGGAAGACTGAAGTCATGCACAATTACTCATACAATTTTTTCTTCTGACAATAGGTCCTTCTGTGTGCTTCTCATTCAAATATATAAAGCTCCACTCTGTTGTTTTAAAAAAGCCTTTGTTGTAGGAACAATTCACAAACGTGTCAAACACGCATTGGTTCCCCACCCCCTTCTCCTGTCTCCTCACCTGACTGAGATGCTAGAAAACAATCCCCTGGCTTGCCAGGGACCTGTGCCCACTTGCCAACTCTGCCCCAAATGGAAGCTAATCCTGCATTTCACATTGCTTCTAGACAAGTATGGTTCTAAGTTTAAGTTTGAGGTTAACCTCAGGGAGTACTTAGCCACACCTGCCACCCCCTCTGCCTGGCCTCAGGGGTGGGAACAGACTTTCTGTTGAGAAAAGGAAAATGCTATGATGCTGCTAATTAACCATAGGAGGAAAGGAAGTCCTCTCCAGACACCAAAAATACCAAGGAAGAACACGATGAAAAGCAGCCTTTGTAACAGCAGGCCCATCATTCAGCCCAGCCTAGGCTGGCGCTAAAGGGGAAAATAACTCCTCCTGCAGTCCACAAGGTCACTGCATCCCAGGTGGGTACCTCAGGAGGCCAGGCCCTGCGTGAGTAGCTGCAGGGGAAGGGGTCTCAGGAACGTGGACAGTGTTCATCTGCCCTCCTGGCTGGCTTAGGCAAACCACAGGAAGTGGCCTGAAGCTGGTGTGTTTATAGGTGACTTGTGAGTCTTTGTTAGAATAGCCGCAGGCCTGTTTGGTAATTTAAAAGACAGGAGTGCAGGTCTGTTGAGGTGTGAGGCGGAGCTGCAGGAGCTTGTCTCAGAGTCTGGGTAATCTCACCACAGCAGGTCCCTCTCCCACCCTGTGCTTATCATACCAGGGGCTGATCCCCACTTTGAGGATAGGACTCAAACATAGAGAAAGAAGTGTCACTGCCTGGCCTGCCCAATTCCCTTAGACTTGTCTGCTACAAGCCTAAATAGAGTCTGCAGCATCTGAGACACTCAGGGTCGGTGGGGTGCTACTGGGGGAAGGGTTGATTTGCTGCAAAAATTGGATTTGGCCACAGGCTGGGAATTGGAGGCTTTCACAAGCAAGAAGGCAGTAGGGCCATTTGGCTGGGACCTTAAGCTCAAGAGAACTCAGAATTTGGCTCCTGATTGGTGTAGGGGAATGAGGGTGGCTCCAAGGATTGAGGAGCTTAGGATCTGAAGGCTACCAGAGCCACTTCGAGGTTCTTGGAGGGCCTGTTTACACAGTCCGCTTACTTTACAGGGGCTAGGACAGATTCCCAAGACTCTAAATTGCCAAAACCAGGAAGTCGGGGTACTAGGATTTCATACCAGGCAAGCTTCCCAGTCTCTCACTCCAAAAACATTTTTGCATCTGGGCAGACAAGGGGAAAATTCTTCCATTATAATATCACATGTACAGGATCCTTGGCAGCTGTGTGTGTGGTGGCACATCTTTCTTTTCTTCCCTTCTTGTTGATATAGGATCTCCTTTATAGACTCCTCAAGTGTCAGAGCTGAAAAGATTTTAGAAGCCATGTAGATCAATTCTTTTATTTGACAGAAAAGGGAGCAGAGAACCGGAGAGAAATGACTGGCACCAAGACACAAAACTAGCTAATGATCACTAGGATTGAAACCAGGTCTTGGGACATCCAGTCCAGGGCTTTTTCCATAATACCACACCCTTTATAACAAATAACACTTGTATATCAGGGGCTCCTGCCCATTGCATATTCTGTTTCCCATTTTACTCACTTCCATGCATAGGACCTTGAACTATACCTTGTATGTGGTAAAATGACTTTCTGAAAAGTTTCCACTAATTGGTTTTATAACCAAAAAACCCCACCTTAGGTCAGAAAGAGGTTATCATGGCCAGAGGTTTCCCATGTGAAATGCAAATCGACCAAAGTAAAAGAGCAAATTCCCAGACTCTAAGGCCTTGATGCTCAAAACTGTCCATGGAACAGCAGCATGGGCATCACCTGAGAGTACCCGCCCCCTAGACCTGCTGAATCGAAATCTACATTTTCACAAGATCCCTAGATGATCTGAACATATACGCAAGTTTGCATAGTACACTATAAGATAAGGCTCTGCAAAATGTCTGTCCTTTCCCCTTCCTCCCAAATGTTCAACCCTCTCCCACTTCTCTCTTGCTCCTTTCTTCTCCATCCTCACTCCCAAATGTTGCTATGTTAATCTTGTTCTGCCTTTTTAAAAAACTTAAAGGCATGGCGGGGGTGGGGAGTGTTACATTTTAAAAGGGGACTCAAAATGGAAATTTTTTTCAAAAAATAAAATACGGCCAATTTGAAACAACTTTTGCAGCTCCAATGTCATGTTGTTAATGTAGAAATATAAACATCTACTATGTTTATATTTGCTTGCTTGTAAAATCATCATCTTTGGTTATATTTAGGAATTTGATGGCTTGGAGAGTATATTGAAAAACTCTGAGAACAAAAATATCCTTCCCCTTAACTTTCTGGAAAATAAAAAAATCTCCTTAAAAAACATCCCAACAACATCTTTTCCCTACTTTCTGTATTATTCCTAACCACAATTGCGTATTTCTTCCTCTCACCTTTCTTCCTTTTGTCATTCCTAGTTCAATTCCCTCATTTCATTTATATTTCTTAAAATAATTTTGTTTCTTATTACTTATTTCTTATAGAAAAACTAAGAAAGAAAGAAGCAAAAGAAAACACAACCAGAATCCCACCAATGTAGAAACAACTGTAAACCTTTTATAAAAAATTATCTCAAATCTTTTTGTGCATATATTTGTTAACAAAAAAATGGGATAATTCAGAACATAATAATTAGTATCTGCTTATTTTTTAATGGAACTAGAGATTACTAACTTATTTACATTTGTGAACATACCTTGACAGTATCATTTTCATTAAATTCTGCCACACGCATTGACCATGATTGATTTAATAGTATTTCTACTGCTGGATATTTAGGTGGTTTACACTTTTCACTATTAAAAACAGTACTGTACATCCTTAATGATTTTCTTATTTTAAAAGATTCTTTAATTAAATCATGAACACATGAATGCATGATTACACTTGTGAAAAAAATTTAAACACAGACAATACTTAATCAGTTTTGTGTGTATTCTCCCAGACTATTTCCTATGCATTTAATGCATATATATGTAGCCTAGAAGACAAATTACTGTCTGGGGCTGTTGGTTTGTTGTTGATTATTTTTTACACCAATGCTATAATACATTACCTATCATTCTTCAAATTACCTTTCTTGCTAAACAATCAGTCTTGGAGTGCTTTCTGCATTAATGCTTATAGATTTACTTCATTCATTTTAGCTGTAGCATAGTATTCTGTATTATGAATATACCATGGTTTAGTTAGCATAGGTTGTATTAATTGGCTTTTAGGCCATTTTCACTTTTTCCCTCTTACAAAGAACACACTTATACATGCTTCTATGGGTACGTGTATAAGTGTGTCTCTAGAGTAGATTCAGAGAAGTGGCATTGCTGTATCTTAGGATCACCTACTTCTTTCTATGTGTGAATGAGAGGGAAAATTCTTTTGAAGATCCTGGAGGAAAAAGTATAGTTCTCAGAAGCCTAAAAAATGATTTTTCCCCCTAGCTTTATCCTTGGCTTCCAGTATTATTTTGAGGTTTCTAGCTAGGGTAGATAGGTGCAACAGAACAAGAGAAAAGACATACCAGGCTTTTGGGGAAAGATAAAAAGCAGGTTTGGTTGAGTTTAAGATGCTGCCTTCCCTCTTATGGGAGGGAAGAATGCCTAGGGTACAAGACAGAAGGGGAATCCTTTCCCTCTTCCCTCATTCCAGCTCACTCCCACTCCAGCACAGTGAATCCAATTGTCAACCCAACTTTTGATGGGTGCACATGGGATAAAGAGCATAGTATTAGGTGCCATAAAGATTTCAGTAGATGACACGGTCTCTGCCCTAGTGAAGGAGAAGAGATTTCCATTCATGTAGAGAAGAAATAACGCTTACAAGCCATAAACTGTACTACTGAGTGCAACTTAGTGCCAGGCAGTCTGAGCACAGCCAGATAACTGCTGAGGGAATCTCAAGTCCTCTTCACCTTTCACCTGGATTCCTGTCTCAGGTTTTCACTTCGTCTTCTCACCTATAATCTCTCCCTTTCAACTCATCCAGTTGACTGGTGATAATATAATCTCAAAAAAGACACTTTCATAGTATTTGTGATTGTTCATTCCTTACTCCTCTTATTCTGCCTGCTAAGCTTCCCCTCATCCTTCAAGCCTCAGCTTGATAACGTTGTAGTGGTAATCATTTGCAATATATGTGTACCAAATCAATACATGGTACACCTTGGATTTACACAATGTTATATATCAATTATATCACAATAAAGTTGGGGCAAAAAGACTCAATTCAAACTTTTATTTACTCAACATACATTACTTGACAGGTACTGAGCACATTCTATGTACCAATTACCTCGTCTAAAAACTTCCCCTGGGGCCCAGTCCCATGGCTAAGTGGTTAAAGTTCCATACGGTCCACTTTGGCAGCCCAGGTTCACAGGTTCAGATCCTGGGCGCAGACCTACTCCACTTGTCAGCCATGCTGTGGAGGCATCCCACATACAAAATAGAGGAAGATTTGCACAGATGTTAACTCAGGGTTCCTCACAAAAAAACCCCAAAAAACTTCCCCTGACTCTAGGCTTTGTGAGTTATTCCTTTGCTGCTTCTTTGCTTGTAATAGATCCTACTTCTCTGTGATTACTTATTTGTTTTCCTGGCCTACCTCTACCCCAAACTGTAAGTACTTAAAGTACAGGACCTCTTTCTTATCCACTTCTATATCCTCAGCACCCAGTATGATGCCAGGTACATGGCTGATGGTTCATAAATGTTTGCTCAGCAAAAAGAATGGATCAATGAGCTTCCCAGAAATATGCAGACTGGTTTTCAACGTACTTTTAGGATTTAAAGATTAATTCTTGCTTACAGAGAGCAGCAACTGTATTAGATGGCAAGAACAGAAGCAGTCTTTGAGGTGACTTTGAGGTGAGTCTTTGAGTTGTCCTAGATCCTGAAAGCAGTAAAGGGAAGAGCTGGTACGTGCCTCAGTCTAGGTTTTCTCGTCCTACATTTCAAACACACAACCTATGTCTCTCTTTGCCATGTAAAGGGTGATAGAGAAGTGTTTAAAAAAAGAAAGGAAAGCTTTTTAAAAAGATCCCAACTTTCCCTAGTTAGGAACTGGAAGTTCAAATCTAATATTGCCGCTTGTTTAAAGCCCTTTTGATTACTTCCCATTGCTCTTAGGATAAAGTTCAAAATGCTTAATTTGACTTGCAAGGCTTCACATGGCCTGGAGGCTGCCTACCTTACCAGGATTCTTTCACATCATTCTTCCTGCTCTTTACTCTCCAGCCACACAGTCATTTCTTTTTTCCTCAAGGGCACCAAGCTTCTTCATCAGTGATGTTCCTTCTGCCTGGAACAGTCTCTGCTGCAACCCATACCCAATCCTCCCACCTTGCCCCACTCACCTGGCTAATTGCCACTCATCCTTCAGGTCTCAGCTTAGCTGCCACGGCCTAGGGAGGCCTTCCCTGAGCCACACAGAAGGCTAGCTCCCCTGACTGTACACTTGCATAGTGGTCTGTATTTTTCCTTTATAACACCCATTATTATTGTAACTTGATCGTTAAGCGTATAATTATTGAATTTTTGTTTTTCACTCCCCACCTCCTAACTCCAGACTGTATGGTCCATGAGGGTAGGATCTGCGTCTGTTCTTTTCACTATTTTAGCAAAAGGGCTTTATCTACATTATTGCACTTAGTTTCACAATCCTGTGATGTAGACATCCTCATCCCCTATTTGACAGAGAAGAAAACTGAAGGCTCAGAGAGATGTGTGGCAGAGTCAAGACCTGAACACAGTTCCATCCACATTATTGAAGGATTAAAAGGGCTAGAAGTTCATTTATTTGGAAGTTGGATTCTCAGGACCTGAACTGAAGTCCCAGTTCTACCACTTAATAGGTTTATAATACTGGGCTAGTCTCCTCATTGGTATAATAGAGATACTATTACTTGCCTTAACTACCTCATAATTTTCCTTAGAGGATCAAGTGAAATAATACATATGACATGCCTGGTACACCATAATCCACTCTACAAATATAAGTGAAACAAGTAGCATTTTTCATCAGGCTCAAGTCTGTAACGGCTGCTGCTTATCTGGTCTCCCCACTCTGGGCATCAGTTTCTTGAACAAAATTGTCACTTTGGAGACACTGGGTTCAGATGTCCCTGTATATTAT